GAATCGTAACTAGATGGTTCTTGTCAGCGTTTTTTCTTTTTTCTTTTCCCTTTTCTTGGTCTACTTAATTAGGTTTGTGTTGACTGGTCCTGTTGAATATCATTAATAATTGAGTGTTCTGATGATTTTTGCAATCAGAAGTTTATACAAAGTTTCAGGGAGAAGTAGTTAAAACTCTTAGTCAAAACTACTCATGTTTGTCTTAATAATTTAACCAAATGTTTTACCAGAAAATGCAGTTTTGTAATGAAGTTCCTCCACTCCCCAAGTTAAATATGAACTAGTTCAAGAGAGGAAATCCACAGGGAGGGCAATTTGTTCTTGTGTGTGCTTCTGTGTGTTACATTCCCACAGTAACTTAATGAGTGGACATTATTTTTGAAGCTTTTGTATTATTCAGAGAGCTGACAGAGGAAGAGTGAGACACAGAGAGCAATGGACCCTTTCCTATCTGTCTTCACTCACTGGTGAACCAACTTATGTATCTGCTGCAGAAACAAGCCCACCCTTTTTTTGGTCAGGGAGAGAGTTTCTGTACGTCTGAGTGATTGTAGAGCTGTGGTGTCCCTGTTAAAGCTTGTCGAGAAGGTATCAGGATTTTTCGGGTGTGTCTGTGCTGTCAATGTGTGAAAAAGCGCAGCGAGTCTGCAAGTTCAGCTCAGATCGTGAGAGATCGCCCTTGACCAGTTTCTGGGTCCTTTCTTGTTGATCTGTGGGCATACTCAAAAATGAAAATAGGGATGTGTTTTTTTTACCCGTTAGAATAATCTGAAAAGTCCATTAGATCCTGCATGTCTCATAAATAGCTGTACCTATTCGCAGATTTGACCAGTGAGCCGAGTAACAGACAGCAACAGACAGCCTACAAGAGATGTCAAACAGCAACTTTCACACATCTTAAAATACACAGAGCAGACTCCACAGAGCTGAGTCGTTCTGCTCGCAGACTGACAGTGCTGAGTCAGCACATCTCCAAGCTCTCTAGCTGTCAGTGTCCATCCTTGTCTCTGTCTCAGAGTCTCTGACTCTCAGCTCCGCACTGTGCTTTCTCTGCTCGGCCTGATGGGGAAACATTGAAAGTAACCTCCATATATCTACTTGACTGCCTCAAGGCTACTCTGCTTCTCTTTCTGACTCGCTAACCCTTCATCCCTTTTTCCATCTCTAATCATTCCCTCTTCTGTGCAGCTTGCGTGAGTTAAGGTCTGACAGCACCGAAACGAAGTCTTGATAATGCCACATCCCAGATAGACCCACTAAAGGCTGTACGCACACATACATACACTGACTGCCTTATCCTGCCCAAGCAACTTCTCATCCTCCCAGAATAACTTCATACACAGGTATTGACTTCCTTGGGGTTGCTTCCTCGCTCCGTTTTAGTAATTGAATTGTTTGATCCTGAATGGGCTTTGTGTTAACAAAGAGACTGTGTGAAGAAAGAGTGTCTCGCTTCATCCTGGCACTCCGGAGCCTCTGGGGTCTTTGAAGTGCGGCCCTGGCCTCGACGCACCAGACAGGAGGATGTTGTTTGGAAAAGGCCAGGCCACCTGTCCTGTCCTGGGGTGACAGTACAGCAGCCACAAAGGAGGTGTTTGTGTGTGTGTGTGTGTGTGTGTGTGTGTGTGTGTGTGTGTGTGTGTGTGTGTGTGTGTGTGTGTGTGTGTGTGTGAAATGAAGTGAACTTTTTTAGTCAGCGAGGTGGGTGGAAAAAAACAAAAACGACTGAAACAGTAAGAGCAAAGAAGTGAGCTGGTCAGGGAAAGGAAGCCAGGGATGATGCATGATATGAGAGGAGGACAAATAAAAGGGATGACTCCATGAATGATGCATAGCTTTCTCTCTTCATTATGCTCTTCCGGGCAATTTGATTATGCAGGTAAACATGCAAGGCTGTATAAGTGAGAGATGAAATGGGATAGAGCGATAGAGAGGGAGCGGGGATTAGAGGGGGGGAAGTGGGTGTGTTGCTTTATGCATGAAAATAGATTGGATTGCCTGGTAAGAGGACAAGAGAAGAGTGTTGTCTGAGTCTGCCTGTGTGTGTTTGTGTGTGTGTGTGTGCTGCCGATAAGCGGGAGAGAGGGAGGGGGAGCCGAATTAAGAATGGAGAGGTAAGGCTCAGCGGGAGGCTTTATACACTGAAACGTTGACAGTAGTTTTGAAATACCACTACTCTCATTGTTGCTGCTGTCAGCATGTTTATACTTCACCACCTTGGCCTCATTCAAACGGAAATGAAAGGGCTTTTATGTTGCTGATAAAGGGCAGCCTCTCCTGACGCTCCAGTCTCCCTCTGCCAGCCGCCAGTGGCTGCAATGACTCAGGTTTGAAGTAAAGGGGCATCAGGAGTAAGATGGGACTTGGGAATAAGTGCTGGAGTGTGCCAGGCTCTGTCTCTCTTCAGCTCTTTAGGTTCTGTCAGTGTCATAGTTTGCAGACATAAGTCAAACTTTGAGAGTCTTTGTGTGTGTGTGTGTGTGTGTGTGTGTGTGTGTGTGTGTGTGTGTGTGTGTGTGTGTGTGTGTGTGTGTGTGTGAGAGAGAGAGGTATGAAGCGTGTTTGTCTTGTGTTGCTCTCCTTTCCCACCTCGCATGTCTGTTGTCAGCTGTGGGCGATGTGTCTTCAGCGGCCCCGTTTGATAAAGCCATTAATCACATTCTCTGTTTACCACTCACTGCAAGATGTCTCACTCTGTCTGTCCCAGGATGCAGCAGAAGATGCAGCTCACTGGAGTGGAAATGGAAACGTCCCAGCCTGGTGTTGGGCGTGTGTGTGTGTGCTTACTGAATATTTTGCGTGACAAAGTAAAAAGTAAAAACCAACATGGTGTCTTAGTAAGGTGTCGGGCCACCACATGCCACCACAACAGCTTCAGTGCACCTTGGCATTGATTCTACAAGTCTCCAGAACTCAACTGGAGGGATGAACACCGTTCTTACAAAAGATATTCCTTCATTTATTGACGATAGTGGAGAGCACTGTCTAACATCGGTCCATCTCCAATAGGTGGTAAATGCGTTGAGGACCGGATGCAACTTAATATTGATTTGCAACCAGATTCGCTGCACACACACACACACACACACACACACACACACACACACACACACACACACTTACTTTAACACAAATACTCAGCTCCTTTTTAGACTCAACTTCTCCAGCGGGCATCTCTTAAGTCCCCCAGTTCGTCCGTGTGTGTCCAGCAGCTGTCAGAGGTCTGGCACGCTAATGCGTTTGAAATGAGAGTGATCACTGAGCGCCAGCTGGGACAATCAACTCACCTGGCGCTGTTCTCCAAAGCCATCTCCACACCTCTCTCCGTCCTGCAGCTGAATGTTAAACACATGGCCCACCTCCACAGTCATTTAAGGGATTTATCACCAAAAATGCAAAACATTCTCTGGTTCCACCTTTTCAATATAAGAATGTGCATTCCTCAATTTTGTCATTTTGAATCATCTGACTTTTTGGACTTAAATGGATTTGTAGAATCACCTTGGGCTCTGGAGCTCTTGACTTTTTTAATTATTTTTTTAATTTAACTTTATTCAAAAGTTGACAGTGAATACAGGACAGGAAATGTAGGGAGAGAAAAAGAGGGATGACATGCAACAACGGGCTCAGTTGGAATGTTGCGATTGCATCGTATGCGTGTGGTCCACAAGGATTCCCCATTGTATAACATTTTAAATGGTTAATAATAAAAATGTATTGATAAATGAATAGAGAAAACGCCCCTAAAAAGATGTATCATTAGTCTTTGCTGTCAACATTTGTCTCTCATCTGTATAGAAATTCAAGGACACACATACACACACATGCAAATGCACAGTCCACACGATTTAGACTGTTCAGTCAGTGTGAAAGGTAACAGCAGCACATGTTGAAGTCAGGTGCCTCGCAGTACGCAGTGTCACACTTGAGTCCCCACACTAGCTAATGTGCTCTTATTTAGCCATCAATCCTCTTTAGCTGATGTCAGCTGCTTTCCACAGCTCCATGGCCATACATAAGCAATGAGAGCTTGTCGATCATCTCACATTATGGTCCATTGAGGAAATGGCTGATGGTGACGGGAAGTAGATGTAGTATATCTAATGTTTCCCCTCACAAGCTATAAGCTTTCCTTGGCAGCTCCTGGACCAGCCTCCGAGCTGTGTCCCTCTGAAGCCGATGGGAGAGGCATTGTTTTAGGTTGCTGGACCACTGTGACTATTATAATGATTCAAAATCACACTCTAAATTTTTAAGTCAGTCCCTGGTGTGTGCCACCCCACCCATTCAGGTTGAGTAGTAAATGGCTTTAGATAGAGGTGTTCTTTCTATTTATTAGTGAATTGTAAAAGGCACACATGATAAATAGAGTTGTGTCAGTGGAAGGATAGCTTTATACCAAAGGTAATAAACTTTCTAAATGTATAGCCTGGCCTCACCAAAGACCATGTTATTCCAAAGTAATAGAAATGTAAAAGCTTTGGAGTATCTCATTTATCTTTGTTCCATTCACTTATGCATGTGCACACTATTGATTTAAGAGTGCTGTCTTTGCAGAATTTCTATGCATCCTCTAATGAAACGCTCTTATTCCTGCTCTTTCCTCCTCCTGTCTTTTTCCCCACCACTGTATATCGCTCTTTCAATCTCTGCCTGTCACTATTGCTCTTCTGTTTCCATCTTCACATACTGTGAGCACCTTTTCACTCTCCAGCACTACACACACACACACACACACACACACACACACACACACACACCCTTCCTGGCTCTAACTCTGCTTCTTTATTCGATCATCTCTACAGGCTCTTCTGTCTGCTTTCTTTCCTTTAAGTTCTCCCACGCTTTTTCCCAATCTTCACTTTTCTCCAGGTTTCCTCTCTCCTCTACCTGTCAAATCTATTCAATTGAGCTTTTCCACACTGTAAACTACTGATGGCAACTACTGAGCCAAAGTTAAATTGTTTCGCTGTATCTCTTTTATTTTCTCCCCCCTCCAGACTTGGACTTTCGCTACTTCTGGAAGTGGAGCGTGTTCGAGGACTACCTGCTCTTCTGCTTCGGCTTCACTGTGCTGTGTGCAGTTGTCACCTTGCTGCTGCTGGACTCTGCTGTGTTTGTGGAGACACTGGGTTCCCTGGCCGTGATGTTTGAGGCCATGCTGGGTCTCCCGCAGCTGCTGCAAAACTTCCACAACCGCTCCACCAAAGGCATGAGGTACAGCACACTTTGAGGTCAAGCGGAGAAAGCTCATAACTCACTGTACTCACACTGGCATACAGCGGCACACTCCCACAGGACTTAAATAGTGCTACTAACACCACATGGAAACTACTCTCATTAACCTTAAGGTTGAGGGAGTGCCAGTAATTTATATTCTCATGAACAAAATATGCTAATAAGGCCATTTATAATCATTGGAGGCAACATGAAGTTTTGGATGAACCCAAACTGAATCTTAAACAATTATCTAGCAGTTATCTATCTGTTTCATTGACGGTCAATGTTTTATGATGAATAGTGATACACTAATTCATCTTAAAGATGGATTTTCCATACAATCCCTTCTTTCAGGTCTCAGTAGAAAAAACTGATGATAATACTGTAATATGCCATCTAAAATGATTTGAAAGAATCAGCATATCCTCCTCTAAGAAATGTTCTCAATACTGTCAACACATGCCACATTTTAAGGTAATTCCTGAGGTACCCACGTTAAATTCAAGGTCAGTAGGGAGTAGAGAGTGGCAGGAAGGGGGGACAAACAAAAAGCTTAGCTTGCATTAAAAATGTTTTTCTTGTTAAGATTATGTCAAAGTGTAAGAAGGTCGATGTGTATACTGATTAGCCTCTCAGGTAGAGGAATGTAAGATCAATTACACCCCTAATGGCACAGAACCTCATACTAATTATGATCATTATTTCCTCATTATGTGTCTTGTCTGTCATCAGTGCAAAATCCATGCGTGCAGCGTCCGTGTGTGTAGTGTTGTCACATGCTTTGCTGGTCGGTCATCTGCAAAAAGCCCGTAGAGACAAAACAAAACATTTGACTTTTTCTTTTTTTCGAGGACACAACCACCGCCGTTTGTTTTCAGTAGATATCCAGCAAGTATACAGGTCAGACCTAAATTAACGTGCACAGCAGGCAAATATCATGATCCTAAAAACATGGAGCAGTGACGTTAGATGGATTCAGCAGTCCTCCCTGGGATTGGGGGTGGTTTTGTTTCCCAGTTCTCGACTCACAATTCCTTCATACACAAATGCACAATCACAAAATATATGTGACTAAGTGCTGCAACTATCGATTATTTTCATCATTATTTTTTTTTTTATGATCAAGTTATCATTTGGTCTATATTAAATTGTATATTATTTTTTCCAAGCAGCCTTAAGATTTTCAGTTTACTGTCATATAACACAGATTAGCTTCAAATCCTCCAACTTGGGAGTGTTTACTATTTTAGCTTGAACAAGATTAAGAGTCTATATTAATGCTAGCAGCTCTGTGAGGCTGGACTCTGGGCACAGTGGTTCTTTGAGCTTTATGCATGTTAACATACTCACAATGACAATGCTAGAATTCTTAAGGAATTTTTTATTTGGTAGATAAAAAGTTAGAGTTTTTCAGTTGTTCAGTTCATCAGTTCATCCTGACCTTGACATGACTGTCAATGTTTTTAGGGAAATCCATTCAGTAGCTGTTGAGATATTTCAGCCTGGACCAAAGTGGTGGACAGTGAGGAAGTCTGACATTGCTATCCCTAGAGCCAGGCTGTTGTTGCTGGTGGGTTTTTTTTTTTTTGCTATTGTTTGCTATATTATGTTTACTTTTTTGTTGATTCCCCAAAGTATAAGAATACCATAGAAATATCATACACACAGGAAAAAGAGGAGGTGAGAAGATTCATGATGGTGGTGTGTGTGTTATTCCCTATGAGAGACAATTCTTTTCACAGCAGAGGTGACAGAGGTGGCATCTACTGTATAGATTATCCACATGCAGCAGTCTTCACTGTATATCCACTATTCTTCTTCAAGTCCCACTCCGTGTTTTCTTTGGATTAACTGTCACAGTACATTTTATGCTGCTCAGTCAAGCTGGCTCATATTTTGCCACACGTGCACCCATAAACACAAGAAATAAGTAATGTAGTAGTGTATGTAAATATGCTGCAATATAGTTGATTTACTGTTTGAATGGCAAGACGTCCTTCCTTGATAATATGCCCCATTTCACATAAAGTGTCCTCAGGATATACATCTGGGCTAGCACTTCCAGTGAATATCACGCCAAAGATTAAATACACAATAACACTACATTAGGTCTCCAGGCTGACTGATGAATGAGTTAGAAACATCAATACACTAAACTCAGATCTGTGGCAAAGTCCCTGCATACTCAGTAATGTAATAATATAATACAAGCCACCAAAAAACAATACAGCTGCTGGAAAATACTTCTTAATACTCAGTGACTCTTTGTCTTAGGGAATACTGTAATTTCAACATGAATATTTTCCAACCTCACTATCGATCTCTGCAGCCTAATTGGACGAATGACCCTGAGGATCGAAACAGCCCATTCAGCACTTCTGTCTCTACGTATATAACATGTTTCAGATCATTTGACCCTGATCACATGTACTTAAGATTCTTCCATTTGTTCATTTAAGCTTGAGCAAACTGTTTTCCAGATATGATGATGCAGCATGTTGTCTGCACTTCCTCTCATATCATCCCATGTGAAACTAGTTGTTGTTCAGTCAGATTCCCCCGGAGTCCTATTACTGAGATGTGATTATGAGTGTGTGGATGCATTTCATCAAGGACGGCTCACCTTTTCCTGGTCACCCAAATGGACGCATGTTGTGGAAAAACCAGAGAGACAGTGTACTCAGTGTAATTATGCTTCCTGGTCATTATTGACACGTTGTATGTGTGCATGTGTGTGCACACACATTCACACTCATACCACTACTCCTGGGAAACCGAGGAAGGGACTGAGTGGTAATGGAAAAATGCAATAAAAGGGATAGTGTGAGAGAGAGCTAGAGAGGCAAGAAGGGTGTGATAGAAAAGGAAGTAAATGCAAGAATGTAGAGAAGTCCTATCTGAAAATGAGCTCCCTTATTTCTAGCCTCCTTTCTGTACTTGTACTTCAGGGTGCTTTCACACCTAAGCTGTGTGGTGTGGCTCAAACAAACTCTGGTTTGTTTGGTTTGTTCAGATGGTGTAAATTCTGTCACTCAAACCGTGAAGGAAACAATCTCCTAAGCAATAAATAGGATTATGCTAGATCTGGGGTCGGCAACTTTTTCTGTCAAAAGAGACATTTTTGGCCAAGGGAAAAACAAAATGTGTCTGGAGCCGCAAAACATATTTGAGTCTTCTAATGCTAATTTCTCACTGCAAATTAAGTTTACCAGTAAGCCAGCAGCACAGAAATTCTCTATTTTCCTCCAGGACTTTTATTTTTTTGGATTTGGAGTCCATAGCTAGAGACTTTTATTTTTTGAAGGGAGACTCAAGACTACTAGCCACTGCTGTAGAGGTTTTAACAATTGGAGAATGTAAGAATCACTTTAGGCTTACAACAATGATAAATGAAAACATTTCCAAATTAAACATTTGAAATTTTCATGTTTTATTGCTAGATAACTTAGTAACCATGGTAACACATATGCGGATCAGTATCAAAGTGCAGGTATTTCCCCTCATATATCAAGTGAAAAAGATGTGTGAGATGTGTTGAGCTTGTGTTCTCCATGTACTTTGACTGTTACTGAATAAGCAATCATGCAGCAGCAATCCCCCAGTAGTACAGGTACACCTAATATCTGTCCCTGTTTATACCTCCCTGTCATCAGTTTGGGTCTGTGACCAGAAAGTTGCCGGCCCCTGAACTTGGGTGGGGAAAGTGGAAAAGCAGCGGTTGTCTCTCCCTCATTGCCACAGCTGAGGTGCCCTTGAGCAAAGCCCAAAACCCCAAATGCTCCATTTTGCTCCATCGGATCGCTGTGGCAGCTTCCAAATGTGAATGTGTGCTACTGTGTGAGTGTGAACAGTGCATTCCTGCATAAGTATTACTCTCGGTGAAACATCCCTGAATATATAAAAGGATTAAAAAATGAACTCATAATCGATCATTTCTCTGTGAGCTTTGTGACCACCAGAAGATAAAAGCATAGGCGCAGTAAAGTGCAGCATGAGTTAGCTGTCATTCGACTGAGTAAACTGGGTTTGATTGTCCCCCACGGGTTGATGTATCACTGATAATGCAGGATGACACTTACCAACATAAAGCAAATCAGAGCTTCTTTGTTGTGGACTGAGTGAGCCAAACTACAGGTGTGAAACTGAATGAATTTACTATTTTGCACATTTAGCCCTCCAGCTAATTTCCATAACCTCATATTATTCCAAAAACATACACTACTTAGAGTATCACACACTGTTCAGTCAGAATAAAGCTGTTTTTAGCGATTCATTAAACACTGACTTTATGGAGATGCCAGGCTTTCATCTGACAGCATTTGAAAGCACTGATTACTCAGGTGGAGCCTACAGTTGAATGCTAAAGTTGTGATTTGTTTATTTGAGCCACAATGTGTTTTTTGTGTGTGAGTGATTGCTCAGCGCTCTCTGCTCGGCTGCCTGGGGAGCACGCCTGTTTTCCTCTTCCCTCTCATTAAACTTTATCTATTTTGCCTCCTCTCCAGTTTTCCTCTCTCAGCTCTGCACCAACGCGTCCAACCTTCACAATGTCACTCAGTGACAGTGGAGGGGACACTGACGGTGGCAGTCTGTCTGCCACACTGACTAAAAAGTATGCAGACAAATACAGCGTGTCAATGGATACATATCTCTGTTAGTTTCCTTTCCTTAGACAGCTCCTCTGCTGTTCTTCTCTGTCCTTCCTCTTTGTCTTTTTCAATACAATTTATTGTTCTTTATTGTCATGAATGTGACAAGAGTCAAGCTACGTACATACAATTGAGTCCAGCAAAGAGAGTAAACGCCTGTCACATTATTGTGTGTCGGCTGCACATTCTGCTCCTTGTTACTCTGTTTCGCTCACACCTTCACAACTAGCAGCTTGTTCCTTTCTCTCAGTTCTGTGTAACACCCTTCGAGCACTAATGGTGGCTCTATTGCCATGTCCTTTCAATAGCAGCGTAATGGTGGTTTCACATTTCTCTTGAGGCAGCCAT